CCCTGTGGAGGCAGCCGCAGGATCAAATTGACCTCCGATGTACTACAGACCATTGAAGAAATCGTTGAACGACATCCAGAGGATACCCTGGTGCAGATACAAAGGCGACTGAAGGAGGACGACATCAATCTAGCCGTGTCTACGATTTTCAACGCCTTGTTGAAATTGAAAATCACACTGAAGAAGAGCCATCACGAGCTCGATCGTGTAAACAGCACCACGACGATTGCAAGCCGTCAGGCCTATGCTCTCGACTTTACTGCACATGCACCGCCGCAGGACAAGGAAAAATGCATCTTCATCGATGAATCCGGATTTAACCTTCACCTAAGAAGGACACAAGCTCGCTCCAAACGAGGAAAACGCGCCAACGTTGTACTACCAACCGTGAGAGGCCGCATGGTGACGCTAATTATTGCCATGAATACTCAAGGCATCGTTCATTCGAAAATCATCAATGATGGAACCTGCAACAGCCCTAAGTTCTGTGCTTTTATCGAGGAGCTTCTGGCTGAGATCCACGACAGAGAGGAAATGAATGGTGCATGGCTGATCATGGATAACGCCAAGATTCATAAGACGGAGGAGGTGCGACGACTCTTGGATGACACACCGTATCAGCTGAAATTCCTCTCGCCATACTCCTATATGCTGAACCCGGCTGAGAATGTCTTCTCAAAGGTATTACTTATTTTATTTCTTACAATTAAAAAATAAAGTAACTCATTATGTAGATGGTGAAGGTTTTTTTGAATTTTTCGAAGTGACAAGATAAAAAGGTGCTCACTGGATAGAGGTGAGGTAACGTGTTCAGGTGAAGGCGTCGGCAAAGCGCCTGCTGAGCAATCCTACGGCAGAGCAAACGCTGAGCGGAGTCATTCAGGAAAGTGTAGGAACGGTGACGGAGCAGGATTGTGCGAGCTACGTCCTCCACATGATGGTAAATTTGACGACCGCGGCAGCTGGACAGCCCTTCGTTAATTGAACTTGTTGATTTTGTTCCCCTTGTGTTCGGTTGTAGAGAAATGACCATTTGTTTCACTCGAAAATGTAGTATTTTGCAAATTGATAAGGATGGATATTGTTTTTTGCGAATTGTTGTTTTGATGTTGAAAAGAATTACCGACCGAAAATGAAGGTGGTTACGCTTCATTTGAGCGGTGTCTGGCTTGAAATGAAAAAAATCCATCTTGAAATGAAGAATGTCTACGGTCATTTGAAAAAGATTCAAGTTGAATTGAAAACTGTCCACGGTTCATTGAAAAAAAGCCGGGTCGAAATGAAAAACGTCCTGAGCTATTTGAAAAATCTCCGGGTCGAATTGAAATTGTCCACGATTTTTTGAAAAACAGCAACTTTGATTTGAACGATGTCCACTTTCGAGTGGAAATGGTTTATAATGAAGTGGCACGCTGAATATCCTTTTTCCGCCGAACCACTCCCCAGTTAAAAATTGCATTTCTGGGACGAAAGCCCGTTCCGGTCACAGGGTATCTGTCAACCGTGAGGCTATACAAGTTCAGCGTTTTGTAGTGCTGTCTGGGAGCTCTCACAACATGCACACTATTACAGCATCTCCTCTTTCTTTATCTTCTTTGAAAGGCTTAGTCCCAATAAGACACAAACCGTGTGCTTTTCCACCTACCCTCTCACCCTTTGGTTGACAGAAGCCTTGTGACCCGTTCCAGCCGAAATTGCTATCGAGACCCCACGCATGGGTGCAGATCGGTTACAAGCATATTGAAATAAATGGGCAGCCTAATGCGCTTCCTACGAGAAAGGAACCTGTTAGCCAAAAATCTGATTACACGAGAGCTCAAATTCAAATTGAGGCCGAAGAGAGGAGAAGCTGTGTAGGAGGGCTTCAAGGTTGCTTGGACATAGACACATAAGAGATCGACAACTTAGTGGAGGAATGGTTGAGAAGAGTGGAACCCAACTTTATTACAAAAGTAGTTTCTAACACTGTAGACCTTTTTCAGGGTTCGTTTAGGGTCAGTGTGACCAACGCATTAGAAATTCTAAGAAGATGAGTACGAATAATATTTGAAGGCACATTCTGCATTGCAGAGGTGTTAGGGTCATGGTAAAGGCTCAATGGTGGTCTAACTCCTCGTCATAGACTGTATGGGCTACACCTACGTTAAGACAGCTATGATTTCAAAAGCGAGGAATATGGTCCAATATAAAGCAGTAATTGCAAAATAAATGGTCCGTCAGGAGAAAGTGAAAGATTGAATCAAAATCACTGAATTCATGGATGTGTAAGCGGCGGACAATGCAACAAAACAGCCAGCCTGAGAAAGAGTGAAAGTGAAAATAATTAGCTCGATGACGAGATAGAATAGGGGACGAGTGACACGCAGACAACGATGGTATGCGGAGTGCGCGTGGATGCAGGCCATACTCTTGAAGTATAGCCAGCAATTATTGACAAAATTAATCATTAATCCATCCAAAATTTAATTGCTGCTATTTGCTCGACGCGATTAGCTCTGTCATATTTTTTTGACATGTTTTTGAAATTTTCAAAGT